ACGCTCCCTAAATGCGGGCGGTGTGATGTCATGCGGAAATAGCCGTCCGTCGTCTACTCGCCGATGCGACGCGCTAACACGGGTCGCGGTCGCAACCACACGAGGATAGAGAGAGAGAGAGAGAGAGAGAGAGAGAGAGAGAGAGAGAGAACTGATCTCGATCGATCACGAATGATTACCTTCTTCGTCTCAACTACGAAAGAAGAGCTGATAGTTCAGGATGCCGCGCCGCCGAGTCAAAACCGGTATAATTTTTGTGAATCCAATTTTCGAGATTAAAGCCACGGAAAAACACATCCGACGTTAATTGCGTTTCTATTGCGACACTAATGAACTCTTCGTCTTAATCGGAAAAGCGTATAGAAAGCGTTTATGGAAATTATTTTACATCTGTTGTTTTCTTTTGATTTCTGATATTTCGGGAGAAATCAATTAAATTAGTTAAATTTTAAAAAATAAGTGAATTTAAAAAATATGATCTTTTATTAGAAAATTAGACTGATAAAAATAGATTAAACAGAGAAAGGATCCTATTTTCCAAAAAAATATAAACTAACTTTTTTATGATAGATTTCATGAAAATAATTAAATTCATAAATATAATTAAAGAATATTAATTGCTTTTATTAATATCTCTTGATGAATTTGCGCGCTATTAACCACTCAACATGCATACTTTTTAAAACTTTTAAAGTAAAATCTCACTCTGAAGAATGTTTTGTGTGAAATCTTACTCTTAAAGATTGAAAATTAACTTTTAAAAGGCTTTTTTAAATATACTTTTTTAAAATTGGCTCAATTTTTACGCTTTAGAAGAGATTCCACAAAAAATTTAGAGACTACGTATTTAAAACACACAACTGTTCAATATACAAACGATATATGTATGCATCGAGTAGTATCACGGAAAACAGGCAGAAGCAGTTAAATGAGAGTATCTTCTTTGTATGTATTTGCTTTTTAAACATTAACTTGCAAAGGATATAGAATATTCGGCAGTTATTTTGTGGTGCGCATTTACGTATTTCTTAATAACGAATTAGTAAGAAATTTTGATACAAAATGTTCGGCGTTTGTTGTTACGCGTATCACAAGGTCGCCGCGCTATCGCTCAACACAATAATAGACAACGGTCGAGCCTGTTGTTATTCTCTCGCGGAACGCGGTCATGACAAGATAGGAAAATGCGGCCACAACGATCATGAAGTTTAATCAATTCCCGTGACGATTCGTAATTGTAGACAACAGCTTTAATAAAAATGTTTATATGCGTTCACACGGTTTCTAATCACAGAAATCGAAATGATGGGAGCTGTAATTACACTCATGTCTGTTTTTATCAATGTTGTTTAATTTTAATCTCGGTTCTACTAATTCTTCGTCTTTCTCTAAAAATTAGAGAAATTGAAAATTAAGTAAGTTGAACTGAAAACACTGACATAAAGAGACGATCTTTTCGATTATTTTCGCATTTCATGGATACCTCTACGTTTATCGTGTCTTTAATCTTAACATTCGTATGATATTTCGCCTGTATATCGTAATAGGTAACACTCGTTATAAAATGTAAATTATTATATATTATTTAAAGTGCAGGAAGTGCGCGAAAGTGTAGTAAGGAGCAACAGGTGTAGCGTCGCGCCATCGCCGCGGTAATTTTCCTTAGTGAAGTTGGCCGCGCGAATTTACGAATGCCGCGCGTCCGTCATTTGTTCGTTGAGTCCGTTTATTACGTTGCGAGGCGTCGAGTGGATTGTATGTATATATGTATTTTTCGCGCGTTTATTCTCCGTCTCGATACCACAAGATGTACTGGGAGTGTCGAATAAAGTGTCGCGCGACGTGATCGTATTCTGGTGATTATAATGTGCGTGCGAAATTAATCATCTTCGCGAAGTGTGAGTGCAATGAGGAAATCTGAGAGGAGGAAGTGGCTTGAGAAGCATCAGGCAATGGCGGAGCAACCATGTGGTACGTAATTTATTTTTTGTTAAGTTACTTGTAGATAGTCTATTTTTTCCGTTCATCGCGAATGTCTTGAACGAGAATTGAAGAAAGATTTTTTTATGAAGAAGATTTATTTATGAAAGTTTAAAAGAGGTTATGTCTAAAAAAAGACGTAAAAATTGTGTAAAAATAAAATGTTCAAATAAACGAAGACAAAAATAATTTATTGCGCACCGTAATAATTTTTTTCTTAATATTATGTAAGTTTATTTTGAGTGCTGTAATAATTGAATATATTTGTATTTTATAGTTCGATGTAGGTTAACTCCGCTGCTGCGTTGTATTGGTCGTTTTGGTGAGTGAAGAAAAATTCTTTTATTTTACTTTGAGATCGAGATTGAGATAACGGATCTGTGATACACAATATATAAATATGTGTATATATATATATATA